ACATTTCAAGATGTGACGTAATTTAAAGAATAAAGATGTAGATTTACCGTATGTTATTGTTGAGCGACTCTTAGCATGACAGTTACTTCTCGCGGTAGACGGTATAAGTAGCTCAGAGCTTTGGCTGTGAGTGAAACCAAGAGTGCAACACAATTAAACTTTTTAAAGTCCATAGAATAATTTAAAGTGATAAATTAACTTAAACTTTCCCGTCACTGGGGACGGGTACTTTTGCTAAATTAACTTAAACTTTCCCGTCACTGGGGGCAGGTAGTTTTGCTTGTAAATAAATAAAACAGCCACCGAAACGTCAGGCATTTGAAAACAATCGATAACAAACTAAATTTACATACACTAGGTGCATGCATTTCTTAAGGGTTAATTCCAGTATTCTTAGTCTTTTATACTTTATTACTATTTCTTTTTGGCAAATAAAATAGAGCACATAACGTGTTGCTTTGTTTGTTTAATACGTAGTAATGAATATTGGGATAACCTTAGAGAAGCCGTTTTATCCAATGGGCAAAAGGGGTAGATGTTCAGGGCCCACCGCATGTTGCGAGTATAATAATAAGTATTAAAATATTAACTGTATAATATAATAATAACAATAAACCAGTTTTTTAAGAAACATATTTTCTTTTCCTTAATTTTGTATCACTAATAAATCCCAGTTTATCAAATTGTATGGCATTTTCCTAAAAGTAAGGATAAGCAGGGGGGGGGGACACTAGTTTATACTTCGCCCAAGGCCCACCAGTGCGTTAACGCGTCACTGTCTCAACCTTGTGGAAATAACAGTTAATTTTTCCAGCGGTTTGAAATTCTCTATCCAAGAAAAAAAATTGCTAAATTGTGAATGATGTTGTAAAAATGAGAACATGTTTTTACCATCACGTCTTCTCTACCATCTTAATTTTAATAATCTCCCAATAGTCATGCGTTGTGCTTGGGGGTTTATAACTAAAAATCGGGGTTCGATATTCTCAGAGCGTACAGTGCAGATAGACTATTTTATATCTTTTATCTAAACTCAAACAAACTTTCTTTGTTTGTGCTTTGTATTTTTGTGTTGTGACATAATAATTAAAGTTTGATATGTCGTGAAGAAAATGTAATGAAATACAACCTAGATCTAGTTAAATGGCTTATTTGGTATCAGTCTTTTAAATCAGAGGCATAAAATATAATAAGAAAAAACTATCGACTACTAATACCACGAAACAATAATTTGATCATTTTCTACGGCTGTGCATGGGCTAATAGTTAGTTTACACGGAATGTGAATACAAGAACTCGTTGTTCCTTATTTTTGGGTGTTAGGTGCACTATAAGAGTGATGTTTAAATTCCACTTTTAGATCAGAGAAGATTAGCTTACGAGTTGGCGGTGGGTGCTGCTGACTAGCTGCATTTTCTCTAATCTATAAGTCCAAAATATGGGATGACTATGAGCCGATAGCTCTTATGCAGTTTTTGCACGAAAATTGTAAAACGAAAAGAAACATGCTTAATTTTTGTCACCTTGGCTTTCAAAAAATGCTTGCACAAAGACACAAATATTTAGTCACTCATAGCAATACAATGGTCATTACCCTGTAGAGTAGTTGTTACCACACTCTTAACACACAAAGAAGAACATCTGGAAAATAAATAAAGAAAAAATATCTTGAAATTATTAAAGAAGATTGTGAGTGGGATAAATAAAGACTGAGACTAGAACTATCAACAGCATATAAATTTAACCTTTTTTCACCCTCTGCGTGTTTCGTTTGTCTATAGGTTGTTGTGAAAGTTTACGCCCGAGTGTTATCTACTGATGTTAAATACAAAACGCTATCCATTGTACCTCAGACAACCAGTAAGGAAATTGTCCGAATGTTGTTAAACAAGTTTCGGATGAAACATCGGGACCCAAATCTGTATTACTTGGCAATGGAGGTGTGGATAAGAAAAACAGGTAAGTTCCCATTTGTTACACATACGTTATTTCAGCGTAAACACTTTTACGCCTTTATAATTTACAATTTGTTTTTCACAAGATTATATTCTATAGGATTCGAGGTGCTTCCGCGATTAATATTAAATTTATACTAGAAGAGACCTGCAAAACATTTGAGAACAAATTGGTATATTTATTTCAATAAAACTTCTTTGAATACAGAATTTCTAAAATAATAAAAATAATTTTAATCGCAAACAGCGAAATCTATAAGTCTACTTGTCTTAGGCCTAACATTAGTTAAGCCTTCATTAAGTACGGCCTGTATTCGATAGAGTTAAATTAACACTGTAACTTGTGTACGTTTTTTGCTTTAGTTTAGTTAGGGCTAAAATTTACCGCATTTAATACTATTGTTGCGTATCTGCTTGTTTGTTAATTTCCAGTAGAAATTCTTTCCAAGGAACTTCAGCGATACAAGTCCTTTCTTGATTAAACCAGTTTATTCTTTCTCCATACAAACCTTTAGTACACAGTAATTCCACAGTCAGTACGTTTCTCCTCACTTTCAACTTAACGACTTTTATAATACACGCTGTAAATCATAGCGATTCACAATCTCGATAACTTCGTTCTCTACGAGTGCAAAACACACACTAGCTGGAAACAGAATCGTAAATTACCTTAAACTCACCTTGACTACTGTTCGCTTTATCATACATTCATCCTCGTATCAGCTGGCTTTTCTCGCTAGGCTTATATACTAACAAAGAGGCTTCGCCAAAATCCGAGGAGTTCCCTAATAATTCGAGAAACCCAGTCACGCATGCGCCAGCAGCGTCACGTGACTTCGCTGTCGTAACACTATCAATAAATCAAATTGTGATGTTATTATATGACTCAACGTTAGACCTTAAAAAACTTTGATAGGCTTTTAATTGGTTGTACAAAATTTCTACTAAAGTATATTTTTATCCGCCTTTTGTTTATGCACGCACATGTGCATTTAGATAGTAAGATGCGCACGCATTTTTAGAACAGACAGAAACTGAGTATTAGCATAATATATTTGTTGTAACAGTTCAGAAATCACACAAGAACATTGTTCTTTCTAATATTTAGTTCAGAAATCAATTCTTCGACCTTATTTTTTCATTAATTGAACCATTAAAATCCCGTGAAGCTGTTATTTATGACAGATAAAAAAGTACTTAATATTTAAATAGCAGCAAGACGTAAACTGTTGATGAATATTATTTTAAACTGTACGCTGAGAAGTAAAATTAAATACAAGGACGCCTCAAAAAAACACGGGCGAGAGATAACCGGTTATAAATACCTTAGCTTTGCCCTTTCGGATAGCCTTCTAAGTGTGGCTGACCGTGATCTTGACCTAGCGAGTGCAGGTTACTAGCCTTTTACTACTGTTTCACAAGCGAAGCCGGTGCGAGATGTAGGCGGGATATTTATGTCCTCTCTCAAGCGATAACAGAATAACTTAATCAAAAAATACAAACACGCATAAGGAGTTCTACATCCTTTATATTATATCTTTCCTTCTGTCTGTGGAACTGAAAATGTATAAGAAATTTTATGTGGCTGAGTCTTTGCTCAGACTGATTTAATAGCTTTCATCATAATATATTGGTGTATTCGATGTGTTATGTTATGATAATTATAATCAGCAGCTTCCATGCTATTATGGGAGATATAACCTATTAATTTGAAGACGATAATAATTAATACTGTTGCGTAACTACACTTTAAATAATACGTTTGATACATTATAGAAAAGATCATAGTACGAAATAAAATACACCTACCTCAGACTTTGGAATTCTAGACAACGTTCTTCGAATAGAAAGAAACGTTACAGGGCAAGAAATAATTTATAAAATTTATGAAATGTGTGTGTGTAAATTAAAACTTCTCCAAGCCGAATGTTCTTTAAATCGGAATTCTCTGAAAATTGAACGTAGTTCCTTGGAACGGTTTTTTTTTATATTTGGGGTGTGGAAATACTTCCAAAACCGGATCCTCTAAGTTTCTGGAACCGAAATAACTTACAGAGTGCTTGTTTAATATTACATTAACGTATACTTTCATATGCAGGTTGTTTTTTGTTAATTTAGTTAGCGAAAAGTGTATGAGCAGAACCTGATACAAGTTACTTTGTAGCAATTGATGGGAGAGATCCGACGTAACAATTTTTATGAATAAAACACTGCGTAAACCGATGTGTACTGTGCTACTGTTGGGAAAAGTACGAAAGGCTGTGTTGATGATAATTTAGATGTAAGCGAAAATCATCCACTAGGTAGTGACATATCTCAACGGCCCGACATAACTTGATAGTTATGGTCCTCGACTAGCAATCGAAACCCCGTCACCGAACATATTGGTCTTTTCAGCCGTGGGGGCGTTATAGTAGTGACGGTTAATCCGACTATTCGTTGGTTAAAGAGTAGCCCAAAAGTTGGCGGTGAGTGGTGTTCACTAGCTGCCATCCGTCTAGTCTGTCACTGCTAAATTAGGGACGGCTAGCGCAGATAGCTCACGTATAGCTTTGGACGAGATTTAAAAACAAGCAAACAAAGACATATCACCTAGTGTATTAGCACTTCTTTAAAAATTGAAAAACTTTGCAATATACAAGGAAGACCAATGTCTTGACATTGTTCAAATGTTAGAGACAATAGCGTAGGCCGTAGGGTATAATTAAACGAAAACGAAGCCAATGAAAGCAGACACTTCTTGACGGGTTTTATATGAAACATTAAATGTGTGAGCATTGAGTGATTGTAAATGTGCACATATGTGCTTCTCTGTGGTTTGAATGATGTTTTAATATATGCTAGTTTTAAATAAATGTGTGTGTGTGTGTTTTGAAAGCGACATCTGTTAGAAAAAATGTATGTATACCTTTTTATTTCAGGTTGAAAACTAATTAATTTCCGTTTGTTTATATTTAGTTATTTATGCTTCTTGTTTATCTATGCTTCAAATTTTTTAGTACTTGCAGTAACTGCCGTCCGGTAAATTCTAAACCCAAGTCTTCATTTTGTGGTTAGGTTTGCCTATCAGAACAGTTCTAATGTTGGACGATGAGGCTAGACCCGGTGAACTTCAAGCATGCCATCCGGGTGGAGAATTCAGGTCGGTGGTAAAAGTCATTCTGTTTTTTGATACATATGTGTATATATAGAGTGTGTGTGTTTGTAGGTGTGTGTGAGAGAGTGGTATCAGCAATTTTTTTATGCATACATATGGGAAGATTTTTCCTTCCTGTGTATCAAATTTCCTTGAGGAGTTGACGGAATTTTCCAACCCAAGATAACAGGAATGCAGATTTGAATACTCATTTTTCTCTTTAATAAATATTATTTTCATCTTTTAGATTTATTACATAAGTAATGCAGATAGCTTTTTGGGAAGTTTGTGTTTGGTATACCTCTAGCATTTATGTAGGCTATATATTATTCTGCTATAAGCAATTAAAACTCAAAACCTTTTGAAATAGAAAAAATATTCATTTATTTAGTTGGTCGATAAAGGGGAGGGTAATAGATATTTTACTTAAAATTACTCTCAGACAATTTGTATAAACAGTTCATGTACCCTGTCCTTGATCATGCCATAAAAACAATGATATTTCATCTTACTAGGAGTGATTCGACGCTGTTGTAATTGAATATTGCGCATTTCAAATAACGTTTTTCTTTTTAATAATTGTTTTAATTGTATTGTTATTTCCATCCTCTTTAAATTTTTTGATTGATGTATTTAGATTTTTATCGTCGAATCCACCAGTGTGTAGGTTTATGCTTCAGATGAGGAGGGGCGGTTTAGTGAAGGTTTATGATAGCTGTTTAATGACAGGGGTAAGTATTTGCCACAGACGACTTTATCCGTGAGTTTAACTTTTTGATCTAATTTTAAGTTCTACTCGATATGGTTTGCAGTTGGTTCAAATCTTACTAATTTAGTTTCGAAGGTCTTGCTAATTATTGGCTGTATTTTGATATACATTATTTACAACTGTAACTCAGATAAGTTGCTATTGGTTGTAACTTTCCTTTCAGTTTTCTTTGGCTAAGCGGTAAGTCTGAGGGCTTATAATGCTAAAAATCGGTAGGCAGAGCACAGTCAGCCCATTGTGTGGCTTTGTATTGAACGACATACAAAAACTTTAAGAAATTTACTGTAAAATTCACTATTAGACACTTCAAAGAATCAAACATCTTGTCGTTCCTTGATGTTCCGATTATACTAAACGATGACAAACTTGTAACAGAACTGTATTATCATAAGTCTTGTAAGAAACCAGTGTTTTTATATAACCACTCACATCACCCACTACACGTTAAACGTGTGACTATTATTAGACAACTAAAACGTATCAATAAGACTTGTACCACTAATGAAGGTAAATCCAAAGCTATACAAACACATGTGGGTATATTAAACATTAATGGATACCCACATACATTTATTGAAAATAATTTACGAAGCTATGGAAACAGAGCCCACAGTAACAATGCAGAAACATTACCACATAAAAAAAATAAGCTGTTTCACACGAATTTCGTTATACCATATATTAGTCCTAAGATTTCAGCTCGTATTAGACTGGCATACGTACAATCAGGTCTTGACATCAGAGTTACAGAGAAACCAGGTAGAACTTTGAAAGTTAGAAAGACCAGTCTTTAAACCCAAAACATGCAATAAACTCGCAGACAAATGTGCAGGTTGTAAATCAGGTTTAAGAGGAAACTGTAACCACAAGAATGTAGTATACAGTTTGATATACAAGCTTCGTGGTTCTGTGTATATTGGTTAAACAGGCAGAATTATTAGGGATAGTATTAAAGAAAACCTTCGAGACTCTGCACACGTCAGACAATAAAGGCAGTGTTGTGACTGAACATTTTGGTGACAAACATGGTATATTTGACATTGATTGTCTCATAACAACAAACATTTTTACTCACTGCCACAACTTTTAAGATAGAAAATGCAAAAAACCCTACTAATTTCAGAGAATAAGCCACAGGTAAATAAAAAAAATCACCCTGGATTTTTACTTTCACTGTTTATATTTGATTAGTATAATCATATACGTATTGCTTTATATATTATAATCTTGTCCGTTTGCTTGTACTTTCAATTTGTTTATATATGCTCAGGGGAAGTCCACCTTCATGCGCAGACTCTATTTATTTTGAAATCTTTTGTATAAGCCTAAATCAGTTACCAAGTGTCTTGCATACTGTGATGTAGCCGTAATGACTTAATGGCTTAAATAAAACCAATTATGTTTTCTGGAGTAATATGTCGTGTTTTTATTCATTTTTTTTAACAATACAAATTTTTTTTGTAAGAAACAAAATATCATTTTATATTGTTGAGGCTTGTAATACTTCAGATACTGAAAAAGTTACCAATTTTATTAACTGTAGGTTGAAATCTTCAGTAAGAAATTTTAAAAATTACACTTTTTCGAAAAGAAAATGTTTTATTAAACAAGAAGAAATCTTCAATAGCCGCGGCTGTAATTAGATCTTAAATCGGTCAAGAGATGGAGCTATGAGCTAAAACTTTGTACTTGAAAAAACAAACAAACTCGGAGCCATTCTATGAACCGCTATGCCACGGCTAAAAACAGTTTTATATTTCAGACGTGGCAGTGGTTACTGTGTCAGATTGTGAATTCCGAAAATACCAGATTTGCGTCCAGTTGCCGCAAAAAAAAAAAAAAGAAGCGCATTTCAGTCTTTGGGACCGTGTGTGCGCTATAAAAGTGACTGACGTTCTAACCCCACTATTTCATTAGACAAACAAAGAGAGCTCTTGAGTAGCAGTTCTTCCCTCTAGTGTATTAGTTCAAAATTAGAAACGGTTAGCGCAGGTATCCGAAACAAATCATATTCATAACAAGATCAGCTAAAGTGAAGTATTTAATATATTTTATATATTTCTCTTTGCAAACATCTTTTATTAGATCGCTTTAATGATAGACGGACATTGATATGAAAGTTTATATGTGAATAATGTTAAATTATATATTTTAGTCCCTGTACAAAAGTCTACTGGTGTCAGATAAAACTACGACTGAAGAATTAATACAGCTTCTTCTGCACTGTTACAACTCTAAGGAAAGGCCGACCAAATTTGCGTTGTTTGAGACATCTTCCATTCAAAAATGTAAGCTAATTTTTTAGCCTTGTACGAATATATTATTTACTTAAGTTTGATATAAAATAGTAGGGTAATGCACTCGTTGAACTTCCGGAGTTCTACCAAGGACGCGAAAAACTGTATTCTTAAGAGCTAGTTTAGGTTTCTGATTAAAAATAGTAGAAAAAAAATATTTAATTTTACCACGACTGAATCTTTGAAAAGGTATATAGCTCACTTTCTTTAGAGCAAACTTGACAGGTTATAATGCTACAATTTGAGGTAAATCCTTGGAGTAGAATGATATGCCTTGCACTTTAAATAAACAATGATCATTTTAGTAAATGAATTTTTATTTTTAAATTCAGTTTAAATTATTATGCTTCAAACTAACATTGTTTTTAATATGTTTCAATTAAAGTCATTTATAAAAAAATCGACAAAACTAACAAAGTTTGTTATGTTATTATTGCATAGTAGATGGCAGCATAAGTTTTGTTTATCTGTTTGTTGTTAAGCGCAAATGGGCTATCTGTGCTATGCCCACTAAGCATATCTAAACCCGATATTTAGCGTTATAAGCCTTCAAACTTGCCACAGGGGGTAGACACGAAAATATGCGCCAGCAATACCAAGTGTGGGGCGCGCGTATACCCGATTCGATTTTATTACTTATCATGATCTCTACTAACATACCCTCAGATATAATTATATGCCCAAAGTAGAGCATCATCCGTCTGATATATACGGCTGGAAAATTTGTAAAAGGGTAAACTTGCTCGTCGCGGCATGAAGCGCCGACGTTTCGTGCAAGTTGCGTTGTCGATCGGTACCGCAACGGACGGCTTTTCGTTTTTACACATATATATATATATATATGTGTGTGTGTGTGTGTGTGTTTGTGTGTGTGTAAATAGATAGATAGATTTACATAAACACACACTTTTTCTTAATTCCTACAGTTGAAAATTTCTAATATTTAAAACATTTAAAAAAATTTAATAATACTTCACTTCTTTCTCTTGAGAAAATTTGTCTCGGACATGAAAAAAGTAAAACAAATTAGAATGTAACATTTTAATTCACTAAAATTCCCCATTACGTTTGCTCGGTTGTCAATCGAAACCTTCAGCTACAACTTTATAATAACCAGCATGTATTACTCGCAGCACATTTCAATTTTGAAAATGCACAAACTAAAGCGCGCTTCTTCAGCTCAGCAGGCCAACAAAGCCCAAACTAGGAAGACAGTCGAAAGAGAAGACCTCGAAATTCATAATAAAATTCATGCTCACAATTAATAAATCGCAGGGTCATACAGCTCACCAAGTAGGAATAAGTCTCTGAGTTTCATGATTCAGTCTATAAGGATTTATCAAGAAGAACATTTGAACACAGCTTGAAAATATACAATGTCAAGATACCAATCAAGCAATACTTAAAGTACGCCCCCCCCCCCCGTGGCACAGCGGTATGTCTGCGGACTTACAATGCTAGAATCCGGGTTTCGATACCCATGGTGGGCAGAGCACAGATAGCCCATTGTGTAGCTTTGTGCTTAATTACAAACAAACTTAAAGTACATGACCATATATACATAAAAATATTGTTTTTGTGAAATACTAGAAATACGATAGTCATTCTCCATACATATATTGTTACTAGATTATAATTAATTCAAAAACATGTCCATAAAACACTTAGATATAATTCTGAGTAATTCTGAGAAAAAAAAATATATGGATATATATACATATATGTATAAGTAAAAATTTAGTCCTGTCTCTTTATTACTGTAATCATGATAGAAGTAACACAATGATCATATTACAGGTTAGTTTCTAGGCTTCGTAGGTATATATATATTCACCTTTCTGCGTGTCCACACTCAGAATTATATATTAATTTTACTTTACTGATTTCACCAGATGAAAGAAAGCTTCATCCACAAGACTACCCTCTTTTAATTCAACAAGGTTGGCCCAGCCAAGAACATTTTGCATTTCTTCTACGTAGAAATATTGATTGTTGCCAAAAACAAAAAGTAAGAAGATTTTTGTTTTCTCAAGTAAAAATACAGAATAATTATCTATATGGATAATGAATTGGCATTAGCCTGTGTATTTCTATCTCACGTGTGTACAGAATTATGCAATTTAAAGATAATGGAATGCCTGTTTCAGCTAAATGCTAATACCTTTTACTAGATAGTACACCCTCCTTCATGGGGGCCTAATTCTGTCTAAAAGTGTGGGGGTCAAGGTAAGGAAGAACTGGTGAGCAAAATGAAGCTAGAAAATTTTTGTTCAAAAGTGTTCAAAGTAGGGTAACACGTGTCCCTCCTGCCCTTAGTTTCATGTCTATGCCCTATTAATTAATATAGTCATTATTTCTATAATTATAGCTATATCTTAAGTAAAAGAGTTAAAACGTGTTTTTTTTTTGTAAAATATTCACAAAACTTTTTCTTGATATGTGATTTATCTATTTTACTTAAATAAGGCTGAAATATTCCTAATTAAAAAAGCATTATTCTAGCTATAGCTGTCAGAACTATGGTATTATTGCGTTAACAGTTTATTATGCCTGTATGGAGTCATGTTTTTCACCTACATGTAAAACATTTGTTTTATGTCTTTCTGTCTATATATTTAACAATAACGCCAACCACCTATGTTTTTTATCTGTAACAAGGTAAGCTGACTTTAACTACCCAAATCTGTCAAAAAATGTTTATAGAATTTTTTATGCTTAACATTAACGAGCAGAATATTGAATCGGCCACCTATTATTATTAACTCCAAGTTATAACTTCATCACAAGAAATACGTTTTTGTTGTTGTTGTTTTTTGTAAAAATAAATGAGATAGTAAACCAACTAATTAATGGGACGAGATGCTTTTGTCGGTTAATGTGACAATCGGAGCATCCTTCAAACTTTTTGTCATATCAAATAAAAAAAGTTTATGTAAGTAAGACGGAAGAGCCATAATGATGCTCTAAGTATTAAGGTGGAACTACGAGGCTTCAATATAAATTGCACAAAAAAACTGGTTACGTTGCACTATTTTCGTTAAATCTATATCTAGATAAAAGCGATAGCCTCATGTTATTTATTCTTTATTAATTAGATATTCATGGTATTTCAATATTTAAAATTCTTGAAATATAGTTGATAAAAACATTATCATTTTAGAATATCTAATTATTAAACATAACTAAGGATCTATTGGTCCATCTAAGCTGCTTCATTCACTAATAATAATAAACACACGCAAAACCAGACCTTATCATTCAATTTTTTATCAAGCCTTCCCTTAAACTCCCCTAAAGTTACTGTATCCACCACACCTGAAGGCCAACCATCCTGTTAGAAAAATATTGTCATAGCTGAGGATGACTTCTATCTTGGCAAAATTTACATTTGTGTCTCCTAGTCTTATCACTAAGTGTGTGTGTGTTTGTGTGTGTGTATATATATATATATTGTTACGCATCTGCTTGTTTGTTAATTTCCAGTATAAATTCTTTCCGAGGAACTTCAGCGATACAAGGGTTCTAAGTACTGTGACAATGGTCATATATTTCAATTTTCTGAGAAGATATGGATTCTAATAAATGAAATTGAAAGAATAAACTAATAACTCCTTGCTTTATTTCGTTGATGTATGGATTTTTTTGCATTGTTCAGTAAACAACAGCTAAGGTTAAACAATGTTAACTTTTTGCAAAACTTTTCAAGAAATTTGATTTTGGATTAGGAATATGAATAAAAAACAGTTAGTTTTTTTGTTTGTAAAAATAAGTACTCTTGCAGCTAACTTATTGGCTACAATATTACTCTTCAAATGTTGTGTTTTATTAAAGTAAGATGGTCTCCATAGTTACTTAGTTTTTGTGTAATAAACACATTTTATTAGGTATTCTTAAGCTATAACCATAAAATAATTTATAATTCTTACTTCATCTCCAGAATTACTTAACAATGTATAAAGTAGGGCTATTTCATATACCTAGGGTGTGAAGAAAAAATTCTAACAATGTTTCTGCATTGCAGAAAAACTAACATTTGATCATAAAGATATAGGTAACATTCTGTCCTCTTTCTTGGATTTTGCAGCTTTTCAAGATGAGAAGTGATAACGTTTCAGGAAGCAAGACATTTGGGGTATGCCTCAGAGATGAAATCAGCCAGTCATCATATCACTCCATGACACTGTTGCCTTCTGTCAGCAATTATGAAAATTATTTTTATATCTGAAAATAAATATATTGCTTCCTAAACTAGTCAGCTATTTATGAATTTAGAAAACATGCTTTTGCAATTAACTACCACCTTTATGTTTTATGAAAGGAAATTATTATTTTTTACTCTATATTTTATGAAGCAGCTTCCGGTAGTAAAATGTTCATGAACACATTGGTTTGAGTGTTTAAGTTGGATTAATAGAAAAAGCATAATTATGTGAATAAAGAAAATTTATTATTATAAATTTTGATAAGGGGAAATTATATTTTGAACCATCTTGGAGTCTTCTTGGTTTCTACTTCTGACATTATTTCTCTAGTTGCATACTTCAGTTTTAAGATCAGCTTATGGTTGTTTGTTTGGAATGTAAATTTAAGCAGTAGCATACAGTTTTTATAATAAACTTATCAAATTTGAGAAAAAAGTCTTGTCATTTTCCCTGATACATTTTTCTGTTACATGTATTAGTAAGCTAGTAACAAAAGTTACTTAAGCCCACAATATATTATACAAACCTTAAAAATTCTATAAAAAAGGTGATCCAAATTTTCAAATCTCTGTCAGTTTATTTCTATTAAAAGAAAAAAGCCTTGTCATTTTGCTGTATACATTTTTGTGTTACATGTAAGCTAGTAGCAAAAATTACTCAAGCCTACAATATATTATATAAACATTAAGAGTTCTATAAAAAAAGATGGCCTGAATTTCCAAATCTCTGTCAGTTTATTTTTATTTGTAACCATTTTAATGTTGTGTAAAGTGGAAATGGCTAGACAGGTTTATACTTTTTCTCATCTACTAAGGCTTCCATTTTTACCTTTATTGAGTTGAGCAGTTTTACATTACCTTATGCCCCCAGTGTCACAGCGATATGTCTGCAGGCTTACAACGCTAGAAACCGAGTTTCGATACCCGTGGTGGGCAGAACACAGGTAGCCCTTGTGTAGCTTTGTGCATAATTAAAAACAAACAAACATTACCTTATTAGTAGAAGATATAAGTATTAACATTCAAACCATCACTTTTTTCTTTTGTTTGTATTTTCAACAGCTATAAACCAAAGCATATTTTGGAATATTGAATTGTAAAAAATATATTTATCATGGGTATAATTGTAAATTTTGTCTTCTGGTAGTTATGTGTGTGGATATAAATATTTTTAATCAACTTGAATATATTAAAAATAGTGTTGCTAAGACAGTGCAGTATGGTATAAATAATATCAGTAAGGTACTAAATTTAAGATTTTATTGCATGTATTAACTAACAAACTTCTCATTCTTATTACAAAAACTCGAGTCCTTATGTGAATGAATCGTTTATATTGAAATATCTTTCATTAAAGGAATTTCACACATTAAAAATGGATTTCATGATGCAGTGTTTCAGGGAGGAAAGTCTATAATGTCCAATAATCTAGTATTATTAATTTTGGATGTATATAATATTCCTAGATGTCATCCTCCCATTATGCTATTAACATGTAAAACACAATTGTTTGAAAATTAAGCTTTCATTGAACACAAGATATTAGTGTATAAAACTGAGCATGTACATAAAGAATTGTATACTGTGCTGGAATTTCGAATAAAATGTCCATTTTTTTTGGTACATAATATTTAATTTTGTGTATTTTTTTAATAGAGATCCCAACATGATGTCATATGAAAGAGCCAGTATTACATTCAGATTTTTTTTAATGTATTAGTTTCATTTCTTTTTAGGCTTTACTGCCTACTGTCCAATCAGTGTTTCAATCTGAACGTATTGTTACGACAGCGGAAGTCACGTGACGCTAGTAACACGTCATGCACTTCTAGAAGGATCCTGTCCCTTCCTGAATGCTCGAGCGTTTACTAGATTTCGGTATTCTTTTATATATAAGACGGTAAGAACTGACGGCAACAATGTAATGTGTAATTGACAGTTGAGTCGAGCACGTGAGACGTTCGTTGTGAATTATAGCGTTTGTTATAGCGCGACTGTGGAAATTAAGTGTTTTGCAAAGTTGTATTCAGAAAGAATAAACCAGTTTTATTTGAGAAAGAACTTGTATCGCTAAAGTTTCTTCGGAAAGAATTTTTACGGAAAATTAACTAACGACCAGAAACGTAACAAATTAGTGTCAGAAGTGGGACAGAAAAAAAAAAGAAGAAGATGGAAACGAGAGGCGGAAAATCAAACTACAGCTTAGCAGATTTGATGGCAGCAATACAAGAACAGCAAAAGAAACAAGAAGAGAGACAACAGCAGTTGCAAGAAAACCTGCAACAGTGGCAGCTCGAACAACAAAAGAAACAAGAAGAACGAGAAGAGAAATTACAGCAGTGGTTGGAGGAAAAAGAAAATAAACAAGAAGAGAGACAAGAGCAGTTGCAAAAAAATCTGCAACAATGGCAACTCGAACAACAAAAGAACAAGAAAAGAAACAAGAAGAAGGAGAAGAGAAATTACAGCAGTTGTTGGAGGAAAAAGAAAAGAAACGATAAGAGAGATTACAGCAGTTGTTGGAGGAAAA